GATTTAAAGAACATTAAAATTAAACGTTTTTATTTAGCACAACAGTCATTTGTTTTGTTAAAAAAAATAGTTAAAATTGAATCGGTTTTTTTAAAAGTAAACAGTGTTCTGGGATATGAAAATGTTGTTATTTATAATAATCCTATGATGTTCGATTTGGTTCAAAATCTGACGAGACTGATTTATCATGTATCTAGTTATCATGAAGTTGAAAATTTTAATCTGTTTAAAAAATTTAAGCTTTTAAAAATAAAAATAAGAAAAAATTATGAAATTGTAAATCAGAATATGTCAGTAAGTAAAAATAAAAAGGCTAATGTTTTAAAAGAAGAAGCTTTTAAATATGAAAATGATCGTATCTTTAATAGTGAAGAAGAAAGTGAATTATTACTAAAAGCAATTGATACAGCTTATGAAGATTTTTTAAAAGATGTTAAAAATGGTAAGTTAGACACCTTATATTCTAAAAAAGAACCTAAATCTAATAAGAAAACTAATTCTAAAAAAAGAAAGATTCTTTAAAGAACTAAACTTAATAAATTTAAGTTTAAATTTAAAATTTATTGTCACAAAAACTTTTTTAAAAAAAGGTTCTATAATTTTTTATAAATAGGTATAATTTTCTAAACAATATAAATCAGCTATATTTACACTCTTTGAAATATTTTCTATAAAAATAAAATTAGTAAATTTTTAAATATAAAACATGTTATTTAAAATATCTTAAAAGATAAGTAAAAGTTTTAACATACAACTGATGTATAATATTTCTTATTATCGAAAACAAAAGATAATGTGGAAACTATTTTGTTTACATTAGTGCTCTCATATAGATCTACCTCATCATCTTGATGCAAGGATTCAATCTCATCATCATTAATATTTAATAATATACCCTTTGTATCATTGAAGAATTTTTATTTAATTATTTTACGTAATAACATAAAAAGCTTTAAACAAATTTTTTATATGCTATTGTTGTTATAGTAATTGATAAGACATCTGTAATTGTTTATTTTAAGTTTTCTATATAAAGAAATTTGAATAAATAAAAGATTTTCTATGAAAAAAGATTTCAAGTCTTCGACTGAGCAGAATGCTAACGATAGTATTCACAAAATTGAAGTTTAAATTTTAATTTAACTTCAAAATCTTGAAATTTTTAACATAAATACTCATAATTAAGCTAATGAAATGTTTTAAGTGTTGTGTTTAACCTCGGGGATGCGACCTATAACAACTTTTTGGAAGAATTAAGACTTGTTAGATATCTTACTTATATTGTTTAAATTGTTTTAAAAATTTTTAGAATATTGTTACAATATGAAACAAATGATGTCATTGTTTCGGAAAATACTAAAAAAGGAAATTGAAGCAAATAAAATACAGTTTTATGAAAGATTTTAATTATAGAAATAATAAAGATTACAAGAGTGATAGGAGTAGGAAATATTAAAAAAATCATTAAATAAATTTTAGTGAAAAATGTTTCTACAAGTTAGGTTTTTTTAATAAAAAATTACCTTTGAAATCATAGTTTTTAAATTGTAGTTTATAAAATTTTTTGTTTCCTTGTTGTTAGTCATAATTTTCTGTTATTGCTAAAAATTTTTAAGAAAATTTATAACTTCAAATTTTCTTAAAAATTAAATTTTACTAGTTGCAAACTCTTGTTTACACCAAAAATAAATGAAAATATATTTAAAGTAAATAAAAAAAATATATAAGAAGAATGGATTAAAAGGATTGACAACTGTTAAAAATTTATTAAAATTGTATTAAGATATATTTAAAAAATGAAAAATTATAAAATACCAGCCTTTGTGGTTACCATGTCTTACCTTAAGAGCCGAATTTTTATAATATAATATGTGAAATATGATTGTATTCCATTATTCAATGGTTTATTTTTGTTTATATTAGCAGCTGATGAAATCTTGTTTATTATAACTAATTTAATTAGCGGTAAAAGTTTTTTATCAAATTTAAGGTTAAAAGTTTCTAAGAACAAAATTTGAATAAAAAATATTTATTAGAAACTTTTTGATTAAGTTTCATATTGTTAATGTGGTTATACCACAGTGGTGAATCTTTTTTACTAATTTTATAGTTGTGTTGTTTAATAAATATTTTCTCATAAAAATTTATCTATTCTTTACTTGTATTCTAAAGTATTTTTGTTTAGAATAAAAGTTGTAATTATCAAATATAGCTCTACTTATTATATTAAATATAGGTAAATTCATTCATTAAATAAAAAACATTTAATAAAGATATTTGTTTAATAAAATGAATTGAAATAATAGAAATAATTGTAAACATTCAATTAAATAGATAAAATCAAAAAAACATTAAAATAACTAAGTAAAGAAAGCTTATAAAAATATTTTGAAGAAAAATATAAATCTGTAAAAAACTTTTGCTTTATCTAAATGAAATATAATAAAATAACTAACAATAACAAAATATTATATAAATATATGTTTAATAACACTAAAATAACTATTAAAATAAAAACGTGTGTTATTGATGAGATTAACTTTAATAAAATCTAAAAGATTACTTTTACAGAAGAAAGTGATATTTAATTATTATGGAATTGAACATGAGATCTTAGAAAATGTCAACTAATTTTAATTAAATCTATTTTTCAATTAATTTTTTTAATATTGAAAAATAAGTTATTATATTTTTTTGAAAATTTTTAATCCCATGTTTTACTTTGTACGAGTCTTATATTTAAATTTATTACTGTCCACATCTACTGTTGATATTCTTTACGAAGATATTAAAAATCTTGATAATGAACTAGAACAGTTTATAAACGACGATTCTAACCCAATTAATAAGAATAATAATGACGACTCTAAAGACAATGATATAGAATTTATAAGAAATATTATTAAATCAGAGTCTTTTTTCAATTTTTTAATAATAGACCTTTATGAAGATGTTTATAAAAAAGAAAGGCTTGATTGTTCTCTTAAAACACTCTTGTCATTAATTCAACAAGATATTCTATTATTTAATTTATCTTAATCTATTGTTAAGAATGGAAATTTTTACGCGGATAAAGAATTAAACACATGTTTAGACTTTATAATTGAAAAAAGAGCTTTAAAAAGCAGAGTAAACGGAAATTGCTTTATTAATATTGAAAAAACGATGCTTATTGATTATTCTGCAATTGTATTATGTTTGTTCAAGAATATAGAAACATATCTTAATCAACAAAACTTTACAAAAGAGTTAA